AGAATAAGTCCGCATTACTGTAAATGGATTCCTTGTTCTGAAGGACATTTTCTTTTAATATATTTCATGCCTGTTAAAAATTGTAAACAAAACATTTTAAACTGTGCATTTGGGTATTCACATCTTCAGGAATAAACCCTCTGAGTCGCTATCCCCTTAAAGCAATGAAGCTTTCAAATGGATAGCTAAATAAATTCCAAAGTCCATTAAGCAGAGTAATTTACAGTGTTCTTAGATTTTGTTCATGGAATTACATTAGCACAGTTTTCTGTTTGGCTTTGGGAAAAAAAAAACACCTCATTATCCTAAGCAAAACGAATATGTTGGTAGGTGATGGTAAACAAATTGGACTGCTTGGATTTTTTTCTCTCTAAAGAATGTATTCATTGTTTGTATTCCGTGCATTAATTTTGAAAGAAACATGGATCTTTGCAAATATCACAAAGTATTGAAAATCCTCTGAACAAAATGGCTGGAGCTTTTTTGCTTACTTGTCAAAAGTGGACTGATTGTAGATATGTTTTTGCAAATGGGGAAGATTCATAACAAAGTGGTATTATTTAGGGAGTGTTAGAAACAGAAACAATACAGAAGAAACAAACTGAATCTAGTTATGTTCCACCTACTCCTTAATAAGACACATTGTGTGCATTTCTGTTTATATATTTTCTTACACCCACATATAGCCACACATTCATATGCATGCACAATACTTTTAGTTATGGAAACATTGCTGCATTAAATACATTGTATTGTTTTTATCATTTAGTGAGCACTTTTTTATTCCAAGGAATACACACTGGATTGGCATCTTCCCAAATAAACTGATTTAGTATCATGAATTCAGTAATAACAGAAAAGCCAAAAATTTTGAATAAACTTATTAATCCCTGGAAGACTATTTTCATCCGTCTAATTCATTCACACATTTAGAAAAGAGACCTGAGTTTTAGTGAAAATAAAATAATAACATGATACTAAATAACAAATAATAATTTAGTGAAAATAATAGCAAAATATATCAAAATAATATCAAAACCTTGCAGTGTTCATGCTTTGAAAATAATTTGGAAAAAATGCTTAAAACCAAGTTTGAACATGTGCTGAGTAGCTAAAATTAACCATTAATGTTATCCTTTTTTAAAGACTTCTACAAGAGCATGAAAAAGATGTGGCTGCTTTATTTACTTGATTTTATCCCACTTTTATTAATTTTTGTCGACAACTCAGGGCAACGAATATATTAAGATGTCTTCCTCCTGTTATTTTTCCCATATCAATAGCCCTGTGAGGGGAGTTGGCTGAGAGAGTGACTGGCCCAAAATGGCCCAGTCAACTATCATGCTTATTATTATTATTATTATGGTTGTTTACACAGTCAGCCAACTGCTTAGATTGGATTTAGAATTTTTATCCACCTATCAAATCCTTCCCAAGGATCTGGGATAGAGAGATGTTGTTTGATGGTTTTAAAGGCATCATTACAGGATGTAATTTTTTTTTAGTAAAGCTGCCTTTTGTAATTGAATGATAGTGATTTTGTCAATGCCAGTGATATTCAAGGGGTGCATCAGATGTTTCAGAATTGCATCCAAGGCACCTGTTACAATTGGTACTATCTTTGTTTTCTTTTGCAACATTTATTCTACTTCAATTTGTAGGTCTTTGTGTTTCTTTCAGTTCTTTTTCTTCTATTCTTCTGTCTCTAGCTACTGCTACGTTCAGTATCCAGACTTTTTTTTTGTCTTTTCAACTGACAATTTGTTAAGTCTGAGGTATTATGTGTGTTTGAGCAGGTGCTTGTCTGTTTGAATTCTAAATCCCCAGGGCACTTTAGCATCTTCATTTTCTATTAATTTATCTATTTTATAGTCCTACCCATTCTTTTGCATGCAAATGTTGTTTCTTGCAGATATTCCAATGCATCGCTGTTGTTACTTTGTCATGCTGTTGTTTGTGCAATCTTTTGATTTTTTGTAGAGGTAATATTTGCTATCTGTTGCTGTCTTCTCAATTCTGACTTTGTATGCATTTGTTCTTAAAGCTTGGAGAAATAGCCCCTCTGTCTCTTTCTTCACCTTTCTTGCTCTTAGTTATTGCCAGGTCTTATTATCTGCTTTATCTGTTTTTTTAATGTACTGGACATATGACATTTTGCCTTGTGATGTCTCTTTTCTATTCTTTCTTTGGTCTTTCTTATATGCCAGTTTGGTTTCTCCAATGTTCATTAAGCCTTCAAGGTGTACTAGCTTCAATGCATCTCCTTGGCTTCACTTATTCCTTCCAATATTATTATTATTGCCATTTTATTATTACTATAGCTTCAAAGCATTGTTAATGCCCCTCTTTAAAAACACATCTTTTTTCAAGTTGGCCAATACTGAAAAAAGTTGTAGTTGCTTCAATGAATGGCAGGCAGGAATAGTAGTTGTGCAAGATCAGAAATACCTACAAGTGTTTATCACAAGATGCCTGTGCAACATGCAGAGGAGAGAAAGGAAGAAAGAAAGTACAAGATCTACTATATGGCTCACTCTGCCATAATAGGACAAAGAACAAATCATTCAATACAAAGATCATTTGGAAGTGGGAGAAACTTCTGATATAATCTACTGGATTCAGAGGTGGTATTCAGCAGTTTTTGACCAGTTCTGGAGAACCAGTAGTGGAAATTTTGAGTAGTTCAGAGAACCAGTAAATACCACCTCTGACTGGCTCTGCCCCCATCTATTCTTTGCCTCTCAAGTCCCAGCTGATTGGGAGGAAATGGGGGATTTTGCAGTAACCTTCCCCTGGAGTGTGAAGCAAATGGAGATTTTACAGTATCTTTCCCCTGCCATGCCCACCAAGCCATGCCTACAGAACAGGTAGTAAATGTTTTTGAATCCCACCACTGACTGGATTCCCTGTATGGGTTGCCCCTGCATGGATTGTAGGACAGATGGAGTGGAAGCTGATCATCAGATTGCAAGAACACAAGCAAGTGGTTAGATGAGGAGACCCAAAGTCATTGATAGCCTCACACTGCAATGAAACAGGATATGCATTCAATTTCAAAGCTATTATGATTGTTGCTGGGCAGGGCCAAAACAGCCAGAAAAATGATTGAAGCCTGGGAAATTGGCTCCCTGTCAGTCAACAGGAGTGCTGATTTACCAACAGGTACTTAGGAATTCAAGGCACAGAGGCAAAGGAAGCAACAGTCAATGACTTAACAGGGAATCATCAAAATCCCACTTAACAACTAAAAACTACACATAACCAGGGACCATATAAATACACATTTCACATAAATAAATACACAGTGCACATTTTCTGGAGAAAGACAAGTTTCCCAATGATGGGCCCCAGCATGAGCTTGAAAGCTTGGAAGAATGAACCTTTGGTCTCAGTGACTAACTCAGATTGGATCCTGGGACATGTATATATGCCTTCATTCGCAAGATCAGTAGAACTTCTTTTTAAAAAAAAATCTACTTCTTTACTGAAAGAGGATTTTTAGATAGTTATTAAAATGTGTAAAGCTACAAATAGTGTATATTGTGCAACACAGAATATTATTAAGATTGTAAACTGTGAAAAGGAACAAGTGAAAAAAGTTACCTTCTGCTAAGAGTTATTTTCCTTGTGACTGTGAGCAACTTGTCAACATTCAGTGAAGCTGTAACTGATGTGACTAAAGTTCGGCTTACAGCAAGTTATTTCAAATTGGATTATAGCAAGTTTACAGCTGGACTAGATATTCATACATAGGAAGGGTGCTTAAAAAGCCTCAGGAGCTACACAGAGAAACAGATGATTCTATTTTTTTTAAAGAAGTGTCCCAGTTTCGCTTTTATTTCTGTGCATAATTTAATATGCTGGGGGATGACCTTGAAAACTGTGGAAAGTGTACAACCAGAATACTTAATGGAAGATTTTCTCCTGATAAATCCGATAATTTGCTGAGATAAACTTTGGAGTCCCTGCCATTGTCCCAAAGATTCCTTTGGTTAAGATTAGAGTCCCCATCTGGGTGAGCCTACTTGGGACTGGGATTTTCAAGAAAGATCTTCTCATGCTTTGTCACTCACAACAGATGATGAAAATGTTCCTTTTTTTTTTTTTAAAAAAAGCTCATCTTCTTTAAAAAAACATTGAAGCTTTAGGGTATTTAGCTTGCTGTGATTATCCCTGGTGATTTCAGTATTACTGCTCTTCAGCGCTTTTCAGTTGCTGCTTCCTAGTTTAGTTGTGCATTTTAGGAGGCTTGTTTTATTATTTTTAAGCCATCTAGAATTCTAGAATGTAGGAGGGAGACCAATATTCAAAATAAACACAATATCAATTAATCTTATTTCATGGAGGAGTAGACATTTTGAAAGTTTTTCAAATGTATTTCTATTTATATTACGATGCATATGTTGCAAAGGGTTATGCCAAATGCCTTTCTCCCACCTCTATTTCATTCAAGTTAGCTAAATATGGATGAAGTTCAAGAGACATGCTTATTTGTCTGCTTATTTGGAATGAAACAAAATTTCCGATCAATCCCATCTCTAAAATGCCTCTCTATTTCAGACTAACCAGCAGTAAAACATCGTTATAGTCTTAACAATGAATCATATTTCAACCAGCTAATGCTGACTTAATAGAAATTATGCTAATGTAGGCTCAGGTGACCTAACAACTAAAGATGGGGGCAATTCAGAATTTAACAGCTTTAATGGAGAAAGAGGGGAAGGATAGTAGAGTTCAGTGCTTCAGTTATGAAATTATTTATGTATCTATATTAATGATTTAATGGATTTATAGGAGGTTATCCGGCTCACATTTCAGGATGCTATTTTATGTATTTGAGTCTTTATGAGGGGTTTTTTTTTGTTCTGAAAAACTTTTACATTTCTGTTGGTTCTGGTGATTTTCCATAAGTGTTGGTTTGTTTGTCTTAGAGCTTGCAAATCATTTACAGTTAATTGTGTTTCATTGCAAGTTGATGGCTTGAAGTTCATTTTCACTGAAGCAAGTATGAAGATCTGGCAACTCTTCATTGTAGTTGCCCCATTGCTTAACTAAAGGCAAGGTGTCCTTTATGCAGCTGCTTCTGGAGATGTGGTATAGTATAGCACATTATATCTGGAAATTATGGTGTTTCTTGTTAATGTATTCTAGGATTATATATAAAACACTGTGATTTCATTTTAAATTTAATTTCTAAAATTATCTGCAGGGTGCTATGTTTTGTATGTCTTTCCCATACCTTAGAATATTTTTGCATGTTCCTGTGTTATTTTTTCTGTCTTGGAAATCATTGACTAAGTTGTACATCATCTGTAAAACATATTATACCAGCTTTCTTTTACAGTGTAATGAAAAGTTGTAAGCTCAGTTTTGCCTATTTTTAAATTATGTTACTGATCTCTACTGACCAAGAAGTGAAACTTATGCATTTCCAGCAGAAGAAATTATTTGATATTTAGAGCTGTTTTCACTTAATACCTTATGCAATGTTTACCTGGATTTGACAAAATTTATGAGTCAAAAGTGTAGAGTGTACCTAAGTTTCTCATTCATGAAAATGGTTTCTTCTTCTTATAATGGGCGCTTGGACTTATTAAATACCAGGTATATACTGCTCAAAAGCAGGTGCATCGAGTCAAAGCAGAAAGCAGTCTCATCTTAGGTTGAAAAGTTCAACTTTGGGATAGGTGTTCCGATAGCTCTTTGTAATATCAGATCGATGCAGAATACCTGTGAATTGTAATGAAGTTGACCAGATGGTTCCCCACTCCAAATTGAGATTCACACTCACTATAAATCCCCTTTCATTATTAATCTGCTTCAGAAAAATTGCCGCTCTGGGGTGTTTATTATTTTTAATTTATGTGCTGCCCACCTGACTTCGATCATGTACTTTTCAAGCCTTCTTGCCCGGTTTCACATTGGCTGATGCAACTGACTTATAATATAAGCTTGATGATCTTTGTCAGCCCTTCAAAATTCCTTTCTCAAAGAAATTTTATTTAAACCAATTCTTTGTAGAGCGTATCTTAGCCATTAATAATTTAGTATATAACCAAAGCATCCTTTCTATTAAATTTACATGCATCGCTTACATGGCTATCATCAGATTGAGACATATTATATACTTGGGTAGTAATCCTTCATGTTAATTATTCCTAAATTTTATTTTGAGAAAGACCCCTAAAGAAAATTTACATGTTCAAATTATAATTATAGAAATGATTGATGATACCTGCATGGCTAATTATTTAATAGGTTTATCTCTCATAATACATTGGTCCTTAAATTGATATGTAAAAGTATTGCATATGTGTTTGACCTTAACAATTGTCTATGAATATTATTTTCTGTATTTATCTCCAAATTCTTCCTAAACATTTCAATTGTTCTGAAGAAAAAATAGTACAAACTATCATCTCACTTTCAATGAAGTAGGTTAGTATTTTTCAGTAGCATATCCTAGCATTTCCCATAAAGCTAAATCAACTCAGTCCTTGACATGTACACACCATGAATTTAATCTTTATGAATTAAAGAAATTCCCTCTTATACTTTTTCGATTCATACTTATATCCCAATCCATCTTTATGACCTTTAAGTCCTATTGCTGAACTTCTGCTGCAGTTGTGCATACTGATGCCTCATGTCACTTTAGGGGGCTGTTAATTGTATAATTAATTTCTAGTTTAATTTCAATTATATGGCTAGACACCTTGGCTTTGGACACCTGTCTAATGGCAAATGGATGATCTCTATTATTATTACTACAATGATTATTGAAATTATGCAGGATGCACATGGAGGGACAAGGTGCCCTTTGAACCTTGGAAGGTGCCTTTTATCAATTACTTTACCAAACTCAGTGGTTAACCTTTAAACACACATCTATTATTTATGCCTAAATAGCAGCTAATGCTCTGAGAATAGTGTTTGTCCTCTACTTAGGAATATTTGTAAAGCTAGGCAAGGGAAAACGAGCGCTGCTGTTGGGTAATATAAAGGGTCATCTACTCCTTCTGCTGAAAAGTGAGTCTTTCAATCTTTTGGAAACCATGAACAACATAAAGAGTTGTAGGAGGTTTGTACCTTGGGTTCTGCTCTGTATTTAGCCTGACCGTTACACTTTACAGTGCAGTTCAAGTATCTGTAACAAATCTTTTTTCTTGGGAGTTGTGTCCTTAAATTTCTGTCTTGAGAGTCTTCTAATTTCAGTGTTGATCTGGGAGACACTTCTATAATCCGATTCAATAAGAACAGGCAAATTATTCAATAAGATCAAGTGTCCACCTTAAGAGCAAGTGCCAATCCTAAGTAAATAATCACCAAAACTTGTTATTAGGAGAAAAAGCCTTTTAAATTGAGATTAATAAACAAACTAACCAAAAGCATAAATACTGGCTCCCATCACAATTTACATTATTGTGTCAGAATGATTGAGCCTCTTTTCTTTCTTTCTTTCTTTCTTTCTTTCTTTCTTTCTTTCTTTCTTTCTTTCTTTCTTTCT